TCCGTATCTTTTTTTTTTTTTTTTTTGTATAGTATTCCATTGTCCCCAACACATGTGCATTCACGTATGAATTGCATCCTGAGGTGACGGAAGATATAAAAAGTTATAATGACTCACAGACACATAAGAGGGATAAAAAAAAATCAGGAGAAACATAGGCAGCACGAGTTTGAATAAGTAAAAAAGCGAACAACATAAAAAAATAAATAATATATGTATTTATTGCTAAATAAAGCGACGTCTAATGTCGTGAATAAACGAGGAAGAAACAGACAGGAACCAAATCAAGGTCTAAATTTTATAGTAGAGACACCATAATCCTGTTTACCGGCTTTATGTCCAGTGCTTCACAACGTATAGCTTACGTTAGCCGAAAAATAAACGTATATTATCGTATTTCTTTATATATATACGCTTATTTCGCTCGTTTTCTTAACAGATAAAAATATTGGTTTTCCTCTATTTAATGAGCTTTTAAGATCTAAAAGTTTGTTTCTTTGAAGTTAAGCACAAAGCTACAAAATGAGCTATCTGTGATCTGCTCACCACGGGTATCTAAACCCGGTTTCTAGCGTTGTAAGTCCGCAGACCTAGAAGATAACAAGTTAAGTATGTTTTAGCCTTTGTTACACTGTTGTCTTTTTAAAGTATTTCAGAACAACAACAACAAAATAATACTTTAATTTACGTTGCACTTTTTCGAGGCGAATGAAAATATTGTCTTGAAATACCTTCTCCACCACAGTAACATATTAATGCGAAAAAAATATAAAGAGCTTCTATGGGACTTAATTAATAACTTTAGTTTCGGCACTTTCTGGTTCAATATTTAAAAAATATGGTCTTTAATTTGATGTATTTACGACTTAAGTTAAATGAGGGTAAAATATTTTGAGTTAAGATGTTTCTCATTTAGGCTCATTCATTTTACGCGGGGGCGGACTGGGAGAGTCGGAGCGGCCCGGTAATTTTGCTATCGGCCCTAACCTTTTGAGGGGGGGAATGGGGATCCAACACTTAATTAAAATTAAGTAATTATTGTATGCAAAGCTTAAACATTATTAAATTACCTGACAATTTTATTTTCAATTTATATCAGTAATCCAACAGGTCGGCCCTCGATTAAAACTAATTGCACCGAAAGCTGTTATGTTAACTAAGTTTCGATAAATGAAAATAAAGATGTCGCTAATGATTTCATAATTTTAAATTTTATATATATATATATATCTCTGTAAGAGAATTAAAAAAAAACATTTCAGTTCTCTATGTATAACAGAGTACAAAAATATTAGATGAAGTAAAATAATGTCAGATTATTATTTTTAATAAAAGTTTTACTTTGAACATAGTGAAGAAGTAACCTCTAATAATAATGTTTTCCCATCGAGTATATTGTATGAAATATAGTAACTAGTTTTGACATATCAGGAAAAAAGAGGAGCGGCTTACTTACTATTTTATGCCAAGACTAAAAACTTTATATTTTTAATAATCAGTTTTTAATTTTTTTTTTTACCAAAAC